ACTTGAGCTGGTAGATATATGACAGATGTTAGTAGTCCACCTTTGTCAGATTCTTCAGTAATTGTGATCTTCTCCCAATTCTAATGACAGAACAGACATACACTGTACATGGACATAGATATACATTAGTATGATATAATGTGTACATGTACATGTACATTGCTTGATATAGAAATGGATCATGTGAGATCAGTCTACTATAAATGGGAGACTCAAGGCCACCCAGGCTAAATATGAGATATACATGGACTAAAAGCTAACAGTGGGGAGAGTTCAGGAGATCTAGACCAAATATGAGAGACCAAAAGTCTCCTAAACTCCCTCTAGATCTAACAGTGATCATGTACTTACCAGTATGTTGGTTAAAGCAATGGATCCAGAGTTGAGGAAATCATTTAACTGATTGTCAATAGAAAGTACAATATGATCCACCCAATAACTAAATAATAATAATAATAATAGTAATAATAATAATAGTAATAATAATAATAGTAATAACAGCAGTAGCTAGCACACACAACCAATCATCACTATAAGCAGCTGCAACCATTAAACAAAAGCTGCACTAATGGATTCATACCACAGACCATCAGTATAACACATACAAGACATACTACACCGTCACACTAACAGTACTGTAGGAGGAGTACATGTATACACATTATACTGAATAGACTCATAAGAACAAGTATAGTCATAATACTGTCTGGATTAATGGAAGGAAGGATGGAGTCTGTGCTAAGGTTAGCTGGGAGTGTTATAACAGCTGAAAATTGTAAGAATAAAAGGAGCACAATAGAGGAACCAATAACCACTAGGAACACTGTATAGCCTTCAATAGATAATGGACTCAATTAGCAAAATAATGATTAATAATAGCTGGACCTTCTTGTCTGTGAATGAGCAAAATATTATAAAACTAGTGGTAGGTACTTTTGAGCTAATGGCTAACTACAGGGACACCTCAACCTCAAACAATGGTGACACACACAAGCACTTTAGAAGACAACAACAATTGCCACCAATGCACCATAATATGTACCATTAACCAGTGCCAATGTACCAATGTACCATTAACCAGTACCAATGTACCAATGCACCATTAACCAGTACCAATGCACCAATGTACTATAGATTACCTGTAAATCTTTATTGACTTCTGGTGTAGCATGGCCACTATCTCATTGCCTTCTTGTGCCTAATAATAATTAATAATAATTAAAGATAGCAATAATAATAATGATGATGATGATGATGATGATATGCGCTATACTTTGGTTTTGATCTTAGCAGATGATTTCATTTTACTAAAAAGAAAACATAGAAAATTAGACACAGACTGTCACTCACATACACACAATTATACATACATACAGCTAATGTAGCTACAGCATAACAAGAATGCACCAGTCCCTCCTACAGTGGGAAGGATATGTATTTTGTGGTGGCACTCAAATAACAATAGGAGTGACTTATGGCTGCCCCAAAAAACACAACCTACCACAACAGTACTTACAAGAAGAAGGCTAACTGCTAATACTGATAATAGGATCCTCCCACCACCCCCTCTCCCCCTCTCCCTACCTCTGGGGACACTTTCAAATGGTATTAACCCTTGGGCCCACACTACCTGTCCTTAATACATGTACAGTGTGGGCCCAATGGTGTTCTTAATAAAGAGGCTACACTGTACATGTATTAAGGACAGGTAGTGTGGGCCCAATGGTGTCCTTAATAAAGAGGCTACACTGTACATGTATTAAGGACAGGTAGTGTGGGCCCAATGGTGTCCTTAATAAAGAGGCTACACTGTACATGTATTAAGGACA